TTTATCTAAACTTATTGGTACTAAAACATTTGGCCAGCTGAGATTGATTGCTCTTGTAGGAATTAAACATCTACTGGAAGCCGCACCATCTGTTATAATTATAAATACGTACAGTTTGGAAATTATATTAAACATTTACGAAGAAGTCAGCATCAGTGTGCATGAAGTCTCATCTTTATTGGTTCTGCATTTTCATCCTTTATAAACAGAAACTGGAACGCAAACATTTATTGCATATTTTGTTAACAGTTGTCTGCAAATTAGTTTGTGGTTTTGGCCATGGCAGAGCAAGGGGGTACAAGAGAGCAAGTCCATTGAACGTTTGTTATATGCAGTAATCCAGTTCATAACCCAACGCACGATGATTCCTAAACAAATGCACAACGAAAAAATAAGACGAATAACTAAATAAAATAATAAATTACATGAAGCCATGGTTCAATAGTCAGCACAATGCATTCTTATAGAGGCACTTCTGCCAGAAGTGGCGTGAACAAGACATTTCAGGGCTGAACCTTTACCTTCAGACCTTTAAATAATACGCATGAGGCATTGACGTTATTTTTCAACTTGTTTTCCGAAAATAAACTGAAGAGGGCAAACATGAACCAAAACAAGTAAGGTAGTTTGAAGCGAGCAAAATCAGCACAGCTCAGGAAGTTGGTAGAGGCAGCAGAGGAATGTCCTTTACGATAGGCGACTGCCAAATGAACAGCAGAAGGCCTCTTGGAATGAGGGTAAATTTATTTGCATGCATTGATGTTGAAATACTATATTTATACAGAGTAGCCCCATTAATCTGTATATAGTATATCTTGTTTAGAGGGATGCTTTAGCTTCACCGGAAGGCATGAGGCTCTTGCAAGCTGTTAATTTGGCTCTGACATACCACACAAAAAAATTCTCCCCTTGCTTTGACCATAAATACTCAAACTACAGCAAGAAGAATGAATCCTTGGAAAATTCCCAAATGTCTTTTCTGCCTCTGATGAAAAAAACAGTGTCAATAATCTTAAGGGGATGGGTGGCTTCGTGGTCAAATCCCTTCATCAGGCTTCTGAGACAGCTCGTCTGTGACCCGGCTTCAAATCTTCCCCGAAGGATAATGATTGCGTCTCATTCCACTCCTTATGGCTGCTTAAGGCGTTTCATGTCCAATGAGTTGTACAGGTCTCGTCGTCACCCTCGAATGCTGTTTACAAGTATTTTTTTTTGAGATTCATCACGAGTTGATTAACTAATATGAGAGAGAATTGCAAAGATGCTGGGGATACGGTCCAATAAGAACTGCCAATGTGAACGCTGTGCTCCATGGGAAAGAAAAGACACGCGTTTTAATACATTAGCCCATCCACAATTTTAAAACAAATACACACCTTATGGTTAAGAGTATGATTCCGGATTTTGCATCTATGCTAAAATAAAATGCATCCGGAGCTGTTTTAACAACCAAAGTGACAAAGTGTTATACCCACGAGCAATAAGCCAACAGTTTTATTCTTAGGACCTTGTTGTTAAAGGCCTCAGGTTGCAAATCACGTCAAAACATCTGAGCATCATTACCATGAAGAAGTAAAAGTTTTGCCCTGAGGGTAAATATAGTAGAGATTTTGAAATGGAATGGTTACTGCAGAAGAAGAAAGGTATTTGATATTAGCTTTGATTTACAGTAAGAAACTTGTATAATGGAAAAATGGATATGCATAAATGTGTCATGGATTTTCAAAAAAGGCGTTTGAAAAGAATTATCAACAATTGATTCAATTGGCTGAATTCAACAGAAGTATGAGGCAATTTTTTTCGGATGGTTACCCTTTAATTGGACTTGACAATGTGTGAGGTAACAGTGGCTTCAGAGAAAATCGTAAAGAACATATCAACATTGCACGTTAGGATCAACATTACAAAAACGAATCCACTAAATATTTAATAAAAGGCGGAGGTAGTGGTGCAGTGGTTAGCACACTTTGCTCCGGACCTGGGAACCTGAGTTGGACTCCTGGCTATGGCTAACGTCAGTGGTCGGTGAAATATGAATTGGTCCTGGGCCCTGCACTTCACAATCCCATACTGTCCCACATGGTGAAGTATGGTTAAACTAACCCCCAATGACTAACACAGCTTGGGAAAGCCTTCAAACATCAGTGGATTGACAAAGGGCTGAATTTATTAAATATATATAATTATTGAAATAAAGTAAAGGAAGATTGTGAAAAGTATGGTCTTCAAATATGGTCTTGAGCCATGTGAAGATAGCCCAGAATATGTATTTAGGTAGTAAAGTGGAGGGGGTCGTAAGCAAGAGGTTAAACTGATGCATTATGTTAGCAGAGTGGGATTTTATGGACGACATTAACCACTTTGAAGGCATTGAAAGGTCAACGTTAGTGTTAAGAGATTGGTGTTTGAGGTAGGAGTAATAATTGTCGTAGTAAAGTGTCAAGAGAGCAGCTCCACAAGAAGCGTCTAGCCCTTGAACATAGCTGCTCGTGTGGACATGAGGGACAGCGATGATTTTGGTAGGCCTTCATCCAGCAGTGGATATATCATGGCCGATGATGATGGTGGTGGTGACATGGAGAGGATACTACGTATTTCATGGCAGGATAGCATTTGCTCTTTAGAGCGTGACAGGAAAGCACTGTAGACATGATCAGGAGGAATAAGAGGAGGGAGTGATGGGTGGGACATGTACGCTTGATCGAGGGGGGGCAGGATTACCGAGAGCAGTGGGAACCCAAAGGTCGGCAACCAAGGGGGAGACCTAAGGCCAAATTATGGGTTTCTGATAAGGGCATGATTTGGAGGTCGGGTGTCAATGTTGTAAAAAGGTTGTAATCTGACAGAAGGCTGGAACGAATGACATGGTAAAGGTGCAACCCTGCGATTTCTTACTCATGGAACTGCTGCCAGGAGGGCCTCCTCTAGTTCAGTGTTTCACAAACTTTTTTGGCCCGCAGACCACCGAGCCGGCGTGGAAATATCCGGGGACCACACAGCCCCGCCAATTCCTCGAGGCAAAACGCATTCACTAATCTCTAAATACCAGTAACACAAAGTGATTCATATTAATGGAACATAAAAAAACGCAGCTATAAGATTTTTTTTGGGGGGGGGGGGGGGGGTGGCATTTATATATTTTGGTTAGAGTAGTTTAATCAAGATAGGTTTACCTAACTTATTTTTTTTATTAATTATCAGGTAAAATATTAATGAATGTCCAAACCAAAGGTATACACATTTCCGGATCAACCTGCATTGGATCAATACCAGCGGTGGTCCGGTGATGCATGTTCTGCTCGGTTAATTTAGCTTCATAGATGTGAAATGTGGATAAGCAAGAAAGAAGCAGAAAATCAAATGAAATATTTAAAAATGTGTTTTTATATATGTTAAATGTGTAACGACATTGCGGATACCACACGGTGAGGATGGGAGATGCTGGTGCTGGAGGGGATCCCGAGGTTTCGTGTGTTACTGCGTTTTGGTTTTTTTCTCTCTCTCTTTTCCCTTCTCTCTCTTCCTTTATTCTTGCCTATTGCTGTTCTATACTTCCGTCCTCTTTCCCCGCTAGTTACTGTATATTCTGTATATAGTGCACATATTGTATAGATGGGTTTAGGGTATTTATTTGTCGAGGCACACAAGGGGTTGTTCGTTTTGTTTGTTGTTGAAGGGGGAGTTGACAGCCGGGACAGCTGAGTGCTACGAAGGGGGGGGGGGTGTGATGTAGTAACATCGCGGGATGTCACTGTGTAGTGCCGGCCCTGGAGAAGCACGGCGTGTGGTGTAACGACATCGCGGACACCACAATGGTGTGGGTGTAGTACCGGCCCTAGAGGGGCCCGGTGAGCGCTGGATGGCACCACGCTTGGCGTGCAGTGCCAGCCCCTACAGGACGGGGTGTGGGAGTGCCGGCCGTAGGAATGAGGTTACTAAAGGCCATGGCACTCTGGTTGACCCGAGAGGACACGTGACCAGTTAAGTCGACAAAGGGGCCCCAAGTGGAGGGCTAGGGGTGGTCACGTGGTCGGGGTCGAGATCCTGCTAGAGGGTTCTGGAAGGTGGTCGTGGCCAAGGGCGGAGCCAGCCACGCCACAGAGAATATAAGCCGGGTCCCCCAGAGGGGCCGGCGTTGTTGTTGATCCTGAAGAAACCTTCGTCTACGTTCTACGTCCTACAGAGTCTCCAACACGTGGACCTGGACCTGAGCTGTGGTCCCGGTCTGTTGTAGCGGTGACGTTGTAATTAGTGTAGTTAGTCGGTGGTCACCACCATAGGTTGATATTCTGTGAAGGGGCAGTTACCCCGTGTGTTGGTGTTAAATAAATGTGTTGCCTCCAAGAGCACATCTGCGACTCAGTTGAACTCACTACAAATGTATATAGCTTAGATAGTGCTGAACCAACATATTCACTGACACTGCAGTGTTCTGTATGACAAATGAATAACGTAAATGATTGCGTTTTGTGATGAAAAGTAAAAAAAAAACAAATTTTCTCGGCATACAGGATATCATAGGTAGTTTCTTGGATTCCTTCTTCGTAGGACATCAAAAAAAACGAAATAGAAAAATAGAAAATATCAGCCAATAAACTAACTTTTCACAAATATGCGGAGATTCACAAGCGATTATGAGCTGCAAGGACAAGAAGCGCTGACACCGCACGATCATTCACTTCAGCAGTGGAGAAGCGTGGCATCCTCCTGGCTGTTTGGTTGGAAATTAAATCCATTCAGCTTGATAAGACACCCACTTTTTGGTCATCGGAAAGACATTCCGGGAGATACGATGCGATAATTTAACTGACTGTTCTAAAAAGAGACTGTGATATTCGCGCGCACATTACAATTAACACCATAAATAAAATAATAACGTAAAAATATATTTTAAAAAAAGTGTCACAGGAGCAAAAAAATAAATAATGGCACCATCGGATTCCAACCATCGTAACGCTGAAGCGGGATTATAAGTGACAGAAAGTGGTGTCAAATCTTACCCAAAACACTGCTGTTGCTTGGGGAGCCGAGTTCCCCACAGGGTCTTCCTGAGGAGCTGTCGCAGACTGAGGCGGCATCCTGTGGGAAACAACAACACAGCGCAGAGAGGGGCACAGCTCAGAACACTTGAGGCTACATTTCCGCTCACTTAGCAAGTTCTAAGAAAACAATATTCATCATGCAGTATGTAACTAATGCATTAAAAAAACCTCCTCCCCCACATACGTGAGTTTTAATAGGCAGCAACTATGTATGCTGATGAATGCTAGAAAGTGCATTATGCCATAACCTATTCATTTGTGTTTTTTTAGATCATCAATATCAACCATGGTCAATCCACTGATGAGGAATTCATGAAGCCGCTCCATCATCTCCCACAATCCTGCGAAATAATAATCCGCCCAGCAACCGAATACAAGCTTATTTCATTGTTCAATCTCCTCAACTAACGTCCTTGGTTGTATTCTACCATTACGTGTGCAGGTAATATATTTGTATATATATATAAAAATACAGTTTAAACTGCTTCGGATACTGTCATTGAACGTTATGTGTGGGCATCACACCCACGATGTCAGGTTTGTAACATTCATATATATAGTTATTTACAGACGTTTGTCAATCCACTGCTGGATGAAGGCCTCCCAATGCCTTTTAGTCATCGGGGTTGTTTGACCATACTTCACCATGTTGGTCAGTGCAAATTGTGCTGATTGGGGAATCGACGGGGAGCAGATCACATATTACTCACCCCTGGTGTTAACGGTGGTTTGATTTAAAATAAAAAAAACAAGTTTCCGGGTTCATAATGCAATGCTCCAAACCTGCTCCTCCCCTGTATGTATATGTGTACATGTACAGCCCTGTGTCAATCCACTGCTGGATGAGGGCCTCCATATAGCACACAGGTTCATGGGTCTATTATACCATACTTCAAAATGCTGGGCAGTGTGTGTTGGTGAAGTCGTGGAGGATTAATGCGGGAGCACATGAGTACAGCGCCACGGTTGACTTTTGCTACACTCCAATCTGCAGCCTATCTCATGGTCTCGCCTTCCCATAACACCTTTTATGCATGGTGGTCACCCAAATCCGAGCACCATCGAGGCACAACCCTGCTGAGCTTCACAGATCTAGAAATTCCGGGCACATTCCGGCAATTTGTTCAGGGGCATACATATACGCACTGTAGAAAATTTGAAAAATGAGAGTATAATTTTAAACATGTGTTTCACAGCATCAGGTGTGCACCCCATTATGTCAGGATCGAGTTTGTTGTATGTTTCTCACCATCATCACCTTAGCATCCTGTGCAGCGTGATCCGTACTCTCACTTGAACTCATGTAATCATGCATGTGTGCTAAAACACCTGCACACAGCCGTGTACTTTTTGGCGAAACATTTTCCATTTGGCTGTCCATTTTCTCAACTTGCTCTGCATGCAATTAAATGCTATTTTTACCATAAGTTTATGCCACATTAACTGTTCATGCTTGGAAAGCAAGCGACCACTGCAGTACATTAAACAAGAAAATAGCGGAATGTTTTCTAAACTTTATGAAACAAGAATGTGCTTTCAAATTTGTGGTAACTTGGTACATTAATTTAGAATAACAATTTTGTTCAGCCTTTTGTCAATCCACTGATGGATGAAGACCTCCCCAAATCATGTCAATTATTGGGGTTGTTTAGCCACACTGCACGATGTTGGTCAAGAGTGGGTTTGTGAAAAGATGAGGGCCCATGACTGGTTCAAATATTACTTGCCACTGATGTTAGCCATCGTCAAAAAAGTCTAACTCAGGTCACTAGGTTCATAGCACTGCATATGACCCACTTTGCCACTAGAAAATAGTGTATATATAATATCAAATTATAAAACCAATCATAACCTTTACAATATTCCAAAACAGCGGGTGCTTAATTAATACCAAAATTGCCAAAATGTGCTTGACATTTCTTCCAGTTGCCCTTCTCAAGGGGGGGAGGAAGATGTATCACCGGATATGTCGACCTCTTACATTTTCAATTCTCAGTGTAATTTATTTTTTTAAACTATGATGAAACAACAGACATAGTTACCAACTACCCTGCTCCCCCCTAAGACATATGCTATCCTCATCATACAAGACATTAAAAACACTGACCTAATTCTGCTGATGCAAGAGAATATGGTTTTAAACCATAAGCAGCTTAAATCCTGCCACAAAAAAATTCTGATATTCCAGCATTTAATTTTAATGTAAACAGTATGTATTAAAAATAAGAACATGTCTCAATGTCAAAAAAAAATAAGTAATACTGTAAGCCTTGGGGCCACGAGACCTACAGCATGCTGCCCCTGCTTTATAATTAAAGTAAGCTCAGCTGGCAGAAAGAAGGTACAGCTGCAAACTAATTAAATCCACTTTTTGACATGCCCATTATGTGCTTTTGTATGAGCAATGTGGCCCCAAGAGAATGCTTGTGCACGTCACCTGAAGGTTGAGTGGCATGACCTGCTACTGGATGGAATTTTGCCAATAATTTATTTTGCGATGAACCAACTGCACTGCCAGACCCTCGAACAGTAAAAATATCCACATCGCTAGTTGCACCTTTGTTGCAGCTGTATTAATAGTTGCACCTTTATTGCAGCTGTATTAATAAATAAAATATATGAAGGTGAAATATTAAGGCTGCTCTATATGAATTATTGAAGGATGTCAGATGCATATATTTCCTTAACTAGCACGTACATACAAATAAGTACATACAATTATTTGTTACATGGTGGCTATACATTTTTTTAGAAACTAAAGCAATAAAAAATGACTTTGATTAACAATATTAAAAACCAAAGAAATTCTACAGACATTACAATCATGATTCAGTGCACACCAAATACTGCATTTTCATTATCTGCATGCATAATGTTTTTGATATAACATATTTGTTTTAATATTCCTGTATGAAGTGGCTTTTTGTTGTAATTAACTCAAGACTGAACATCAATTTCTTCTGCGGTTCTACGATAATAGACAAAATGGAATGGAAATCAATTTGCGGTGTGTGCCTGTTAATTGCGTACATGAAATGATGTCCCTCGAATTACTCAGTGCGCGGACAAGTGAGCGGCACTTTAAGCTATTAATAAAAGCGGGCGTCTCTTGCTGGCGTTGGACACTTACAAAAAACATCGTTCTGGAGCAACGACCCACGACTGACCCCAGCTGTTATGACAGTGCAAGGGAAGTCACCCTTATGTAATGAGGCCTCAAGGGAGAGTAGCAATCAACACCGCGAACGGGGGTTTCTGGATGCTGTTAAAACCTTGGGTGCAAACTCGGTAACGAGCACGCAATCTTGCTTATGATTGCACCTTCCACTCGGCACACAATGGTGGGTGCTAATCCCATTACAAGATTTAAACACAAAAAAAACGATTATTGCTTCACCGAATGTCAAACTGCAGTTACGTAGCATTAACGTTTGAACGTGTTGTTACAGAAAAACGTTAATATTACAAACCAATTATCACATCACATCGCAGCCTTACGCCACAGTGTTTGCGGAAGGAAAATGTGCCTATTGGCAGTTTAAGGCTGTTTAATAATACGAGGGTTGGAGGTTGCTCATACTTTATTTCACACGTGAATAAAACTGAATCGGGGAAAACTGTTAAGATGCACTCGTAACATTGTGTCAACCTAATGGTCTCCTAAACGGAGATACAGCCACCTTGGCTCCTCCACGGTGTAAGTTTAAATCTAACACATAATAACGCACCTCTTGGGTCCAGCCACCCCTAGAGTCCGAGCCCATGAACATAAGCTTGCCCTAATTAACTGGCGCTCGTCTATTTGGCAGCCAGCGCCTAGAGCCGCAGTTCAATACGTACAGTGTCCGTATTAGCGTTTCGCTATGCAGCTTAAAAGCGCTTTTGGTTTGTTTCGTTCACTCAGTGGCATTACAAATTCTGTATTAACACATAGGCCTCGGCAAGGTAAGGTAAAAGGTCAAAAGCAACGAGCCCACCTTTACCCTACCTTACCCCATACAAATTACCCGATTACAGGGTAATTACTGTGGTACTACACATGAACAAGGTTTATAAGAGGGTAATTACCGGGGTACTACACATGAACAAGGTTTATAACAGGTAAATACTAGGTAGAGCGCTTTATTCATCTATATAAATCAAAGGGAAATTTGTGAATGTGTCTGTTCGAAATGTTTAGCATACTTCCCGACATGCAACAAACTTTAAATTTGGCATGTGGGCAGCTCCAGACTGTACACAATGCAAGAAGTATAAACATAGACTTTGTATTTTGGGGGGGGGGGGGCGCAATAATGGATATATATTGCACGGCAAGTGAGTGGTGACGTCACATCTGTGATGTCACATCTGTGATGTCTCATCTGTGATGTCTCATCTGTGATGTCACCGCATGCGGCAGCATTACGCAGTGTGCCTGCTGACGTCATGCACCCCCCCCCCACCCTCCGCGTAGGCCGTGTATTAATCCAAGACAAGAATCCAAGTCTCGGGCTTAGCGGGTAGTAAAGCTGGTAGAAAATACTCTCGATGATTCCAAAATGGAGGCCACGGATTGTGCCACCGAGCTGTTAGCGAGCGGTACACAAGGTATTTACCGGGTAATACTTCGCGCTACCTTTACACTACCGGGTAATTATTCCACGCTACCTTTACCATACCATTTACCTTACCCCTTGGCATGTCGAGAACTTTACCCTTTTACCCAGCAAAAAGGGTAAATTACCTTACCTTGCCGAGGCCTATATAAGCCTATCTGGCTCAGTGTCCATATTAGCGTCTTGCTATGCAGCTTGTTTCGTTCACTAAGTGGCATTACAAATTCTGTATTAATACAACTTAGCTGGAACTAAATTAATACGACGTTGTGTTGAGTTGTGACAGATATACAGCCTATGACAAGAAATGATTTGGTTTTGTGGCTGAGGGCAGAGTTCTTTGAGACCAAAGCTGCTCACATGAACAAAGGCTGTGTCTTCAATCTCTCGCGTTGGGATTATTTTATTCTTGGCATTAGTTTTTTTTTCAGCCCTAAGG